TCCCCACATGTCCCCAGGGCTTCTCCCTCGCAGTGTCCCCCATCTCCTCATGCATATTCCCATGTCCCCATGTGTCCCCATACCTGTCCCCAGTGCCCCCATGTCTGTGTCCCCCCATGTCCCCCCATGTCCCTGTGTGCTCCCCATGTCCCCATGGCCATCCTTCTGTGTCCCCCCACGTCCCCCATGTCCCCCCAGCACACACACACACACACACACGAGTCCCTCTGTCTTGTCCCCCCGTGTGTATTCAGCTCCAGGGTGGCCGTGTCCTCACAGGACGGTGGTTCTAGGTGGGGATGGTGCCAGTGGCCAGGAGGATGATGAGGATGAGGATGATGGCACCCACGAGGCCGAGGATGACGAGCAGCTTCACGTTCTTCCACCAGTAGCGCCGGGCCATCTTCTGGGACGTGGTGCGGAAGTGCTCCGACTGCGGGGACACGGGGACACCCCTGACGCCCTGGGGATAACCCACTGACACCCTGGGGACACCCCATTGCCACCCCAGGGACAGCCCTGGCACACCCAGTGCCACCCTGGGGACATCTGCTGAGACACTGGGGACAGCCCTCTCACCCTGAGGACAACCCCCTGTCCCTTTGGGGACACCTCTGCCACCCCAGGGACACCCATGACATCCTGGGGACACACCTGACACCCTGGGGACCAGCCACTACCACTCTGAGGACACTCAGCTGCCACTCCAAGGCCAACACTGCCAACCCAGGGACACCCTGCTACTCTGGAGACCCCAACTGCCACACAAGGGACAGCTCTGACCTCCTGGGGACACGCCACTGCCACCCTGGGGCCCCCACTGCCACCCTGGGGACACCTCCTGCCACCCAAGTGTCCCATGCCAACCCACTGGGCACCCTGCAGCCCCCCTGGGGACCTCGTGTTCCCCCCGGGGTCCCGGTACCCACCCCAGGGACCCTGTTCCCCCTCAGGAGTCCTGTGCCACCTCGGGGGCTTTGTGATCCCCTCAGAGCCCCTGTGCCCATCATGGGGACCCTGTGCCCACCCTGATCACCCCATGCCCACCCTGGGGTTCCTGTGCCCACCCCAATGACCCTGTGACCACCCTGGTGACCCCATGCCACCTTAGGGACCTTGTGTCCACTCAGGGGCCCTGTGCCCACTTTGGGGGACCCCATGTCACATTGGGAATCCTGTGCTATCCCGGGGTCCCTGTGCCCACCCTGATGACCCTGTTGCCCCACTGGTCACCCCGTGCCACCCCAATGACCCCATGCCCGCTCCAATGACCCTGTACCCACCCCA